GGGATGCTCAGGGTGGGCACCGGGATCACCCTGGGAAGGGGAGGGAACCTTGGAGCTCCTTCCAACCCGATCCAGGCTGGGATTCCCTCATTCCCTGATCCTCCACCGACTCCCTGCAGAGCTGGGAATGGTTCAAACAGAACAGGAATTCCTGGAATTGTCCCCCTTCCCGCACCCCCCAAAATCCCTCTCTTTGAGCCCAGAATTCAGGGATTCAATCCCAGGCAAGGCCACCCCGAGCTCCCGGGAATTCGCCGCCTTTGTCCGGGGAAGCAGCACCCTCTGCTGCCCTTCCCGGGAATCCAGGCCCTGCTGGAAAACCTCGGGAAGGTTTTTCCCTCCCTGACATTTCCCCGGGGAGTTTGGCTGGTGAGGAACTCGCTGGAATTGCCCAAAATTTGCTTTGCTGGGATCCTGCTCCTTCCCAGCTGCTCCGGGGTCAGGCTGGGGCTCCAGGAGAAGTTCCCTGCTCCCAATTCCCTGCTCAGTTCCAAAACTGGGAGAACTGGGAAGAGCAGGCGGTGATGAGGGGCTGGAATGAGAATTCCAGAGAAAACGTGGATGCTCCATCCCTGGAAGTGCCCAAGGAAGGGGCTTGGGGCACCCTGGGACAGTGGAAGGGCTGGGAATGGCTGGGATTTCAGATCCCTCCATGCCACGAGCCGGGATTCCCAAATTCAGGAATATTCCAGCTCCGAGGAAGGCGTCAGGTCCTGCCTGGCAGCTCCGGGGGCCGAGCTCTGTGTCAGGAAAGCCACAGGAGCCTTTGGCACCCGTGGTTTCCTGGGGATGTTTTCTTTTCCCTCTCCTGGCTCCTGGTTTTTGGTTTTGTTTTGTTTTTTTTTTTTTCCCCTGCACCTCTGGTGGTTTTGGGGCCGCGTGGGCCGGGCTGGGGAGGGCAGGAAAGGCTGAGATAATTACAGGGAATGATCCCAGGAATAGAGCTGCTCTTCCCTGGGCCAGGAGCTGCACGGAGAGGCTGTTCCAGCTCTTTCCGTGGGTTTGGGACACACGGATTGTCCCCATGGATGCAGGGTCACAATAGGAACAGCTGAAGTCACTGCATGGATTTAGATCCTTTCTTCCTGCTTCCCTCTGTTCTTTTTGGGAATATCAGCCCCTGTTCCCTCCTGGCCATGCCACCACATCCTGCCCCAAACCACCCCAGCAAAAGGGAGAAGGCAGCAGGAATTCCAGAGGGAGAAGGAGCAGGAAGCACAGAGCAGCTCCTGAAATTCAGGGAATTCTCCCTTCAGCAGCTTCCCCTCGCTGTGGGGAAAAATCTCCTTGCCCCAAGAACGGCCTCAGGTTGTGCCAGGGGCGGTTTGGGATGGATATCAGGGAGAAATTCCTTCATGGAAAAAAGGGAAAACTCTTGATATTCCTAGAACAGGCCCAGGTTGTGGCAAGGGAGGTTTGGGATGGATATCAGGGAGAAATTCCTTCATGGAAAGGGTTGAAAGCACTGGAAGTGTCCAGAGCAGGGGATTTGGGGTAAAACTCAAACCCAAGGCTGCTCCAGTCCCAATCCCAAAATCCCCAGGGCCGGGCCCGGGATCCAGAGGAGCAGCTGGAAGCACGAGGGCACGGCTGGAGCAGGGAACATGCTTTTATTGAGGAGTGGGGACAGGAGCAGCACAGCCCAGCAGGATGGGAACAGGGAGCAGGGAACGGGGACCCCTCCCTGCCCTGCTCCCCTGGGACATTCCCAGGAATTCCTGGGAATCTGCAGCTGGGGACAGGCACAGCAGGAGTTCAGTAATGCCCACGAGGTCCACACCGAGCACAGAGGGGCTGGGGGTGGTTTTGGGGTTTCCAGGAGAAAAGGGGGGGGGAACCAGAGGAGCAGGAGGGAACTTTTCCAATCAGGATGGGGGAGTGGTTAATGGGAATGGCTCCCACATTCCCAGGAGTGCTTCATTTCCCAGCCTGTTCCAGGAGGAGTCACTGGGATTGAGGAAATCAGCACTGGGATCACTGGAATCAGAGCTGGGATCACTGGAATCAGAGCTGGGAGCACTGGAATCAGAGCTGGGAGCACTGGAATCAGCGCTGGGAGCACTGGAACCAGAGCTGGGAATCACTGGAATCAGAGCTGGGACCACTGGAATCAGAGCTGGAATGCCACCAGCCCCCTCCCAGGGCTGTCCCCTCTGTCAGTGACACTGGGGCCTGGGTGACACAAGGACAGTGGTTTTACTGGGAGGCCATTTCAGGATATTTCTGCTGATGGGAGGGAGGAATCACATCTTTTTTTTTTTTTTTTCATCTTTCAGGGAATCCATCCCTCCCTGGAGCCCAGCAGCCTGGAACTGGTGCTGGGAATTCTTGGGGTTCTTTGGGAAAGGCCAAAGTTTGGATTCCTTCAGCCTGGAGGGGAAAAAAAAAAAACAAACCTCCAATAAAAAGGGAGGACCTGCAGTTGCAGGAAAGCTGCTCTGGGAATACACTCAGCAGGTGGTTCATGTACAGGAGCAATACACACCAGGAAAAATGGGAATTCTAATCCAGAGGTGCTTCCAGCAGGGCTGTGGTGGCTCCAGGAGGGGGTGACAGGAACACCCAGGCCTCCCTCAGGTGCAGTTCTGGCTGTACAATAGGAATTAGGTGAAAATCTGCTGGATCCTACAGAAAACTGCTGGAAGAGGGGGAATGATCCCACTAAAGCTATGTCAGACACGGAATGGGACAGGAGCAGCTCCTGGGGAAGCCAGGGCTGCCCCACTGAAGCTTTTCCACAAGAGCCAGCACTCAGGGACTGGGGTGAGCCCAGCACTCAGGGACACTGCAGGAGGGACAGAGGGACAGCAGGGGACAGCAGGCACAGGGGACAGCAGGGGACAGCAGGGGACAGGGACAGGCCCAGCAATCAGAGCTCCCTGGGGCTCTGACACTTCCAGTCCTGGCGGCCTCACTGAGGCCGAAAACATCCGAGTTCCTCAGAACTGTGGGGACACGGGGCCAGGCCAGGCCAGCCCGGGGGCGACCTGCCCTGGGGACACTGCAGCAGCCAACGGCTCGACACGGATCCCCACGGTGCTGGGGACACTGCTGGGGACACCTAGGTGCCCTTGGGAGGGGTCCACTTCAGGCAGCTGGGGTCCATGGTCTTGTTGCTGTTGGACCTCTTGGCCTCCTTGGCGATCCACTCGTCGATGAGGTCCTGGGGACAGCAGGGCAGGGGCGCTGAGAGCTGAGCCCGCCCGGGAATCACCCGGGGACAGCAGCACAAAGGGCAGGGAGGGGCAGGGGAACGGGAGAACAACGGGAGAACAACGGGAGAACAACGGGAGAACAACGGGAGAACAACGGGAGAACAACGGGAGAACAACGGGAGAACAACGGGAGAAGAAACGACACCAAAAGAAACAGAGTACCACCTAAAAGAACACCCAAAGGACACCCAAAGGACACCTTCTCCTCCATGGAGTTTTCTAGAAGCCCTTAGTGGAGCTCCCAGGGAGTCCTGGGGAAGGGAGAGCATTTGGCACACCCAGGGATTGATCAGAGATTGGTCTGGGATTGCTCAGGGATTGATCAGGGACTGCTCAGGGATTGATCAGGGACAAGCAGGAGCTGTGCAGGGCCCCATCAGTGCCGTTCCCAGCAGTCAGGGAGGTTTGGGGGGGATTTTAGGGAAAAGTTCCTCATGCAGAGGGTGCTGGGCACTGGGCCAGGGAATGGGCACGGCCCCAGAGCTCCGGGGGTGTTGGCACAACGCTGCCAGGGACACCCAGGGTGGGATTTTGGGGAGTCCTGCAGGGTCAGGAGAGCTCATTCCTGAAGAATGGGGTTGGATTCCCAGCTCCTGTTCCACTGGGAGATGAGAAGGAGCAGGGAGGAAAAGGAGGAGGTGGAAGGAGATCCCCCCCAGGCAGGCAGGCTGGCTCACCTGTCTCTTGAGGACCAGGTGTTTGCCCTTCCAGTACTTGAGCATCTGCAGGGCCTGCAGGGTGCTCACGATGTCCACGGGGTTCACAGCAGTCTCCTGGCTGATCTCTGCAAGCAGAGCCTGGCTCAGAACCCACCCCGAGCCCCTGGGATCCCAGAGCCAGACTGCTGGAATGCCCTCGGGAATGGGGGGGCTGAGCAGGCCCAGCCAGGGCTCTGGGGATTTGGGGGTGCTGGGGTTGGGATTCTGGAAGGAATCATCTGGAAAAAGGTGAATCCTGCTTTTCCAGATACCTCACAGCCCCAGGAAATCCCAGGTGCCACCAACAGAGAAATGCCATTAAAAGAAAAAAAAAAAATTCTCAATATTGGCTGCTGGAGCCATTTTTCTTGTTCAAATTAATTCAAATACCCAGCTGGATGAAGTTAATTCTAATACACAGCCGGATTAATTTTCTTTTTTTTTTTTTTTTTTCTGAATCTCTTTAAAATTGTATTTTTTTTTTTCCACAAAGCAGCCAATCCACCCTTTCAAACTGCTTCAAATCTTCGCTGCTGGCAGGGGTGGGAAAGAGCCATTCCCACAGGAAACACCCCATGAAATTCTGCACAAATTTCCTTGGGATGTGCCCAAAAAAAGCCTCCCCTGACCTTTGATGGAGATCTCCTTGCCCTGGAAGTTGTGCAGGTACCGCAGCAGAACTTCCTTCCAGTAGCTCCTGTAGCTGATGAGGCCCAGGTCAGACAGGGGACGTTCAGGGGAACCAACTTTTTCTTCTACTTTAGACAGCAAATAACCTAAAAAATTATAAATAAAAACCCCCAAAACCAAAACCTATTTAACCAGAAAACCAATTGGGGGGAAAAAAAAAATTTAATTAGAAAAGCAAATTTCCAGAAACAAGCCAGGATGAAACTGCTCAAGCAGCAGCAGCAGCAGCAGCCAGGTGAGATTTCCTGGTGGAGCTGGAGGGATTTTTCTCCCTGGAATTTCCAGGGAATTCTCTGGAATTTCCCCTGTCCACACTTACTGAAGTCAATGAGCATTTTGCCATAGCCTTGTCTCATGTACTGGGGCATGGTCAGGATGCAGGACACGTTGTAGTTGAGGAAGGAATTCTTCTCCTGGCAACAACAGCAGAAGTCAGAATTTTTATTCCTTTAACTGTTTCAATTTTTTTAAAAAAATCACGGTGATTGATATTAACTTTAATGCATTTTTCTCCACATTCCTCCCCAGTTTCTTTCTCCCCTCTGCTTCCTGGTTACAGGAATTCCTCAGAGCTGCTTTGGTTTTTTTTTGCTTTTTTTTTTTGCTGGCAATGAGAGAAGATGGAGCAGCACAGCAGCTGCAATTCCTCACCAAACAGGGATTTTTATCAGGGATTTTGTCCTGCTCCCAAAAGCAGCAAAGGCTGAGACTGCAGAGGGGACTCAGTGCCCTAAAGGGACCCGAAATCCCATTTCAGTGGGGTGGGTGAGCAAAGTTTTGCACTGACCTTGGAGAAATACCCGATCAGGTGGCAGCCAGTGTTGTCAGCCTCTGTCATGACGTAGAACAGGAAGGGCTCCACGTCATAATAAAGAGTTTTGTGGTCCAGGAAAAGCTTTGCCAGCAGACACAGGTTCTGACAGTAAATCTGGGCACAAAAAAAAAAAAAAAAAAAAAGAGA